TGTGCAGGCAGTTTCCAGTCAGAAATGTTTTTCCCTCCTTTCTCCTAATTAATTCACAGTCATCCTTAGATCACTTCCTCAGGGCAGCTTTTCCTAACCACCCACACCCACCAATATTCAAATATCCTGTTGCAGATTTTCCTAGCATTTTTTAGTTCTCCTTCACAGTACTTGTCATAATTGCAGTTTTTAAACATGTGTAATTATTTGATTATTGCATGCTCCCTCAATAAACCAAAACTCCATGAGGGCAAGGAGTATTTCTGGCTTTGCTCAATATTGTATTTCCATCATCTAGAAACAGTGACTGTGACATCACAGACAATCAGTAAGGATTGGTCAAATGAATCAATATATGAATGCACAAATTTGCAAACACTAGGTATACACAATCTTGGACGTCAACAAAAGACTAAAACATAGATCAGAATAAATTGATCAGAGCAGAATAAACTAGTAGAGCAGAAATACCACAGGTGTTAACTATTGATAATATTTGCATGTTATACAATGTAAGGCATTTCTATAAAGTGTACAGTTGTAGGAAGATTGTTTTGAAGTTTTTAAGAACTAAAGCTAGTGAATAAAAATAATTCCAATTACAACTTCTATACTACGTCATTAAAAATACACACAAATGAAATGTTTCTTAACTGTGAAGTTATGGTTTTATTTATTTATTTTTAAAGATTTTATTTATTTATTTGTCAGAGGGCACAAACGGGGAGCCTCCAGCAGGCAGAGGGAGAAGCAGGCTCCCTGCTGAGCAAGGATCCCAATGCGGGACTCGATCCCAGGCCCCTGGGATCATGACCTGAGCTGAAGGCAGACGCTTGACCAACTGAGCCACCCAGGCGTCCCTGTGAAGTTATGGTTTTAATTAAAAATATTTGAAAATTCAGGGTTGCTTTGACTGGCTTATTCAGTAGAGTATGTGACTCTTGATATCAGGGTTGTGAGTTCAAGCCCCATGTTGAGTGTGGAGCCTACTTAAAATTTAAAAAAAATTAAAAATTAGGTGAGTAGCATTTAAAAAATATTTGAAAATTCAGAATTTAATGATAGCTAACCATTTTGTGGTTGCGGTTTCTCTGCGTTTTTTTTTTTATTTTATTTTATTTTTTTTATTTTTTTTTATTTTTTTATTTTTTTTTTTATTTTTTTTTTTTATCTCTGCGTTTTAATTACTCACAAATAGGAGTTAGCTCACTATTCTCTGAGAAAGATGAAGTAAAAAATAAAATGACTTCTTCGTATATGTGAGTTGTACAAAAATAAATTATTTTTACAATATGAATTTTTTATATTGGCTGTAAAGAATGAGAACAATGAAGTAGGGGTAGAGGTTTAATATTTATTTTTATTGAAAACTCAGTTACTGGAATGCCTGAGTGGCTCAGTGGGTTAAGCGCCTGCCTTTGGCTCAGGTCATGATCCCAGGTGGGATTGGGCCCCATATCTGGCTCCCTGCTCAGCAGGGAGCCTGCTTCTCCCTCTCCCTCTGCCTGCCTCTCTGCCTACTTGTGCTCTCGCTCTATCTCTCTGTCAAATAAATAAATAATCTTAAAAAAAAAAAAAAAGACTCAGTTACTAAAACCACATATACATTATCAATTTTTATAGGAGATGCATCTCAAATATTTAGTTTACAGATACTGTTTAGTTCACAAATTGATTTTCCTGATAGGTTGATTAACTAGGCTCTGATCAGTAGCCACAAAGTTCATGCTAATCCTCTTTCCTAAGTTTACAAATGCAAACCAGTTACCTTCAGAAGGACCATGTGAGAAAACAGGGAAGGGAGAAAGATGTCAGGGCCATAAAGGTATAGTGCTATGAAGAAATGTCCTAAAGCAGGGCCTTCTTTTTTTTTTTTTTTTTAAGAATTTATTTTATTTATTTGACAGAGAGAGACACAGAGAGAGAGGGAACACAAGCAGGGGGGTGGGAGAGGGAGAAGCAGGCTTCCCACGGAGCAGGGAGCCCGATGCAGGGCTCGATCCCAGGGTCTGAGCCAAGGCAGGAGCTCAAGGACTGAGCCACCCAGGCTTTCTACACAACTTCATGCAATAATTTCATAGGGGGCTTAAATTCCGAATAAGTTAACTGCCCCCAGAATCTGGAGTTAATGTTAAAGTCAGAAAATACCACACTTTGGGGGAGCCTGGGTGGCTCAGTTGGTTAAGCGGCTGCCTTCTGCTCAGGTCATGATCCCAGAGTTCTGGGATCAAGCCCCAGCGTCAGGCTCCCTGCTCAGTGGGGAGTCTGCTTCTCCCTCTCCTTCTGCCCCTCCCCCTGCTTGTGCTCTCTCAAATAAATAAATAAAATCTTAAAAAAGAAAATATCACACTTTGAAACTAAAGCTAATGGAATTTGTATACTTTCAGGTCTAGCCCAGTGCTCTTCAAACTGGGGTATACTCAGCTCTGGAGGTATACCAGGAATTTCTAAGAGACGTGTGAGCAACACATAGATAGTTTTTAAGAGAATTAGTGGTTAGGTTTTCAACTTCCATAAGCCCTGTTTTTCCAAAACTGAGCTGCTAAAGAACCCGCCTCCCCTTGCCCAATCTTACTTTTTTCCCCATCACCAAAAAGAGGCACACCTTTCACCCACTCCTAATCTTAACTGTGTTAACATTGCCCCAGGATGGAAAAGGGGCACCAGAGACAGAAGTAAAATGTCCCTAATTACTTGGTAGCTATACTTTTGCAGATGGTTTTCAGCTTTTCCTTTCAACGAAACTGAAGAAGGACTTAACCAAAGTGTCAGTTAATCATTAAAAATAATTTTCAACAATAGATCACTAAGGGTTTTTTGCACATAACTTGGAAGGAGTTTAAAGAATTTTGTGACGTAGCTAAAACAAACTCCTTCTATTCCCATCATTCATAATTTTTCATGAACAAATAGTCTCAGCACGTCTTCAAAAGAAGAAAAAAAGGAATAAAATGTATGATGAACCCTTTCTCAGCCTAGCAAACAAATTCTGACCACATTAATTAGTTGAAGAAACTTAGCTAATTAAGAAATGTATTTTCAATAAATGTTTATATCATGCTTAATATCAATATATTTATGTTGCTTTGACCAAATATGCACTAGTAATTATAATGGTAGCTCATTTCAGGATATTTTTAGGACATATAAGGTCCAGAAATTTTTGAAATTAAATTTCAATTGATAATGGACTTCTGAGTATAAATGTCATATTATAAAACTCTGGAAGTGGAATGGAAGTAAAAAGGAATAATATAAATATTTCAACTGTTCATATATTTTTAAATGAATAATGGTGGGTATTAAATAATTATGGTATATAGATTCCATTGGATGGATTTTCTAAGATATTTTATTTTGTATTGTCAATATTTATAACATGCCAGAAATGACATTCATTACAACAATTTGAACTTACAATGAAAATATCTCAGATGCTACCTTAAAAATGTATAAAAGGGTACATAGTATTTCAGAATTATTTTGGGGAGGACACTGATCTATTTTTCACCAGTTGATAGTGAAATGAAAAAAAAAAACTAGAAAAATTTTCATAAAGTTATATTTGTTCAATTTAAAAGATTATTATTTTAAATTATATCCTTTCTCATGGTTTAGACTTAAGATATATTTTGAAATTATGATGTTAATGGACTGTAGCTTTATTTTTAATGTTCTTTTCTTCATTGTTGCCTAAAATGTTTTTAAGAAGTTATTTTTACTAACTCACAAAATTCAAAACCCTGAGAGAACCACTGGTCTAATAGAATGTAAAGAGGAATGTTTATTTTATAAGACAGAATATTCTGAAATTACTGAGGAATGGAGATAGCCAATTTACTATCTAGTTTAGTGGACATAGCCAACAAGCACTTTAAAGACATTTTTTTGAGTTTCTGCTCTGTACTGAACATCAGGATTTAGTAGATAGGTAAGATTGTCCCAATCCCCAAGAAACTCACCTTTCAGTGAGGGAGAGGAATATGTAAATTAATAATTATAATGGTTAAGTGTTGATAGAGATATGTAAAATTGCTGTGGAAACATGGAGGATAAAATGACTATTGCTGGTTTTAAAAGTTGAATTGCTAGGGAACATAGATGAAAATGGGAATTTGGCCAAAATAAAAGGATATTTATCCTAAAAGTAAGGCCATTTTGGGGTGCCTGGGTGGCTCAGTTGTTGGACGTCTGCCTTCCGCTCAGGTCATGGTCCCAGGGTCCTGGGATCGAGCTCCAGGTGGGGCTCCCTGCTCAGCGGGAAGCCTGCTCCTCCCTTTCCTACTCCCCCTGCTTGTGTTCCCTCTCTCACTGTGTCTCTCTCTGTCAAATAAAGAAAATCTTAAAAAAAAAAAAAAAAAAAAAGGCCATTTTAAGTTTGGTGTGTTTCGACTCTCGGACTGCTCGAGGTGAGATTTGTAAAGAAAGAATGGGGAAACTTCAATAAAGAGTTTGGTTTTTATCCTGAAAGTGATGGAAAGACTGAACGACTTTTTTAAGCAGGGAAATGAGTAAATCAGACACTTCTTAATAACATCTAATTCCTAATTATATGCTCGTTCAACCATTTGATCTTTAATTTGGCTTCCTATGTAGATTCACCCACTAGGAAGAAGTTCTCTTAGTAAACATAAACAAGGTAGGTTACCCTGCCAGGTAAATGTTCTACTAAAAAATAATGAATTGCCAAACTCTTCTGAATTGGTTTGAGATAGTGTCCAAAATCTAATATATTTTAAATATAGTGAACAAGCCCAGTTTTGGGATGCTCCAGCCTGAGTTGCAGATCTGAGACAATATTATTGAGATCAACGAATTGTTTCTACTTCTCAAAGTCCTGCCTGAAAAGCTAGTGGGATTTCTAAAGACTTTCTCGATCATAACCTAAAGATTACATACCCAACAGCCTCTCAGGTCTATTGAGAATTCAGTAGTCATGATGAAAATAATTTCGTAAAAGATGATAATGATAATTTAAAAATCCTTAATGCAACGTCCAGAAATGAAGATGAAGCTCTTCCAAGTATATTCGTGATCAACCAACATAAAATTTGCCTCAACCTTTGGGATATTACTCCTGCGACAAGAACCATAAAGAGTGGCTGTGCCATCATGCCTCTGTTTTCAAAAGGAGTGGACCAGACAGTGTGGGTGGAGAAGGAAAAAAATTCATAAGCACCTTTGGATAAACTGCTCAAAGTCGTTGCGCTACTTACAAGAGCTCAGCAGAGGCTTCTGCATGAACAAGAACAGTCGACATGAGTGAGGTAAGTTGTTTTCTTTTTGGTGAAATGAGAATCAATTCATTCATTTTGGCTTGATAAGTTTTTTGACTGCTCTGAGATCTATTCCCCCAGGCCAGTCACAGTCGGTGTTGTACTGTGCAAAGGTATTATGCCTCACTGGTCAGTGGAACCATTAGGCTCACTGAACAAGTACAATTCAGGTCCAGCCTACTTTTTTTCTTCTGTTTAAGTAACCTGACCTAACAACCGTGGGATTCTGTTGTTGACTCTTAAATATTTCAGGATTTTCAGGTTTGCTCAAGAGACACAAATGGTCAATTCGTGATTCAGAGACTTCTTCCTGCTCATGTGCTCAATGTCACATTAGTTAATACACACATGTGCAAAGCTATCCACAAGTGATGGGCTTATGGTTTTACTGTAGAGGACTTCAGTTTTCATTTTTCCAGACTTGGGAAAATTACCGAGTATCTCTAGACCCTGGTTTTCTCATTTCTAAAATGGAGCTAATAATAGAAAGGTAGTAACCTTCTAAGTCTGTTGTGAAAATTCAATGAAATTATATATGTAAAGCATTTAGCTCAGTGCCTGGCAAACATAAGCCAACAAATTAATTTATTCAATTCTTCAAATACTACATGCGGGTAGTAGAAATAAGCACTAGAGATAAAATAGCAAGAATAGACAGTTCTTGCTCTCATGATGCTTACAATCTCATGGAGGAGGGTGACAATCAAATAATCACAAAAAGAAATGTAAAGAAGAGAGAGAAGAAAGAGAAAAACGTGGTTTTGGAGCTTATAATAGGAAGATAAGATTTGGTTTTTGAGGGTGATTTTGAAACCTGAAAATTCTCTGGGAAAGTGGCATCTGAAAGATGATGAAGAGTTAACTTGGTGACGAGAAGAGAGATGGCTTTCCAGCCTGTGCAGAGGCCTGCAGAAGAATGGGTCATCTCAGGTTTGAATGATAGGAAGCAAGCACCAGTGGCCAGAGCAGTTGAGGGGGAGGGAGCAGGATGTGAGAAAAGGTGGGTTTGAGAAGAAGTGGATGTGATCCATTGAATAGCAGTTTTAAGTTTGTCTTTTTGATAAGAGCAATGGGAACCTGCTAAAGGACTTTTGAATTCAGTAGGAAGAAGGGACAGCATGAAGTACCATGAACAGATTTGGATTTTCAGATCATCTTGGCTGCAGATAACAGATAAGATGAGGACCAAAGGACATAGAAGTTTATAAGAGATGATGAGAACTTGGACTAGATTAATAATGGTAGAGGTGGAGAGAACTGCACAAATTTAAGAGATAATCTGGGAGGGAAAGTTTATATAAGTTGGTGAGGGATTGGATATGGGGATTAAAAAAGAGCGAAGTGTGGACTCTTAAGTGTCCGAGAGCAGTCACTAAAACAGGTAACATCAGAAGAGCAAAGTTTGGGGGTAAAGTTATGAATTCATGTTTGGAAATTTCATTTTGAGTTTCTTTTGAGATATTTGTGAGCACGTTAAGTAGGCTACAGCTCATAGGTTATATGTCTCATAAATGTATGTGTATATACACATGCACATGCATATATGTCATCTGTGGATAGGTGGTGACTTTTTCACCTGTAAAATGGGCACACTAATCCTGCCTCACAGGAGTGTTGTAAGAAATGAGTTGGAGAGGATGCACATAAAGTGCCTAAGTATGTATCCATAATTGTGCCAGGCCAAGAGATGGAAGAAAGGGCACTGGGTCCAGTAGTGGCAAAGTGATATGGAAATGTCTGAGGAAATGATGCAAGCAGTGTCAGATAAGCAGCAGCTGGAGTCAAGTGTGATAAACACAAGAGTCTGGTATATACCACTTCTGAAGGTTGATCTCTAGATTCTGTCAGCAAGCTACCTAGATGTTTTCTAAATGAGCAATTACTGAATCTGGAGTCTGGAAAGGCTCTTACTAATACAAACTATGACATTAAAGTATTCAAGGCAAGTTTTCATGGAAATTCATCAGCATTTATTGAGGGTCCCGAATCCACTGTGGTAAGGTCAATGAAAAATTTCTGGAACTGAAGAGTAGAAGTTGAACACAGAAAGAAGGGGGAAGGTGTGTTCTAGGAGGAGTGAAGAGTACTAAGACTCACAGATCTGTAAAAGCACAGTGGGATGAAAGGAGTGAAATTATCTTGGAATTAATAACATTTGGGGAATGACAAGGGATGATATTGGATAGGTTAAGGGCCCACATGATGGAAAGCAAGTAAATGATGGGATCTATCAGAAAATTGTAAGCAGGGAAATGATTGGACTTGCTTGTAGATAGAAAGGTTCAGACCATCATATAGACCAGAGAATGGAATTGAAGACTGAGAGACAGAGTTATCAGTTATGATGCTATTGCAGTAGAACAGGAAAAGATTAGAAGCTTGATGTCCAGGAGGCATTTGGAGAATAGTCTGGATTGGACATCTATATTGTAAATATACTATACTATACTATAGTATACTATATACTGTATATATACTATATATACTGTATATACTATATACTGTATATACTATATAGTATATATACTATATAGTATATATACTATATACTGTATATATACTATATACTGTATATATACTATACATATACTATATACACACTATACTATACCATAGTATATACTGTGTACCATAGAATACTATATACTGTACATGTACTATTTATACAGTATAATATATATTATATATAAATATCCCCAAACATATATGTGGTTGGGGATTATCAGTTATAATACGTAATTTAAATCAGTGTAAATGAAATAAATTAAGGACAAACTGAAAAGAGAAAGAATTTAAAAATGACCCTGTGAAACAGTATCATTTAAGGAACAGGTGTAAAGAGGATCCTGAGGTCTCTTATCCAATAATCCTCATTCTTAAAAGTTCTTCCTTATGTCTAACTTAGATATTTCATGCCGTAATCAAAGTCTATTTCTTTTTTTTTTTTTTAAAGATTTATTTATTTATTAGAGAGAGAGAGAATGAGAGACAGAGAGCATGAGAGGGAGGAGGGTCAGAGGGAGAAGCAGACTCCCTGCCGAGCAGGGAGCCCGATGCGGGACTCAATCCTGGGACTCCAGGATCATGACCTGAGCCGAAGGCAGTCGCTTAACCAACTGAGCCACCCAGGCGCCCAAAGTCTATTTCTTCTATCCACTCTCCAGTTGAGATAGAAAGCAACTGTTCATCATCTTGTATATAACAACCCTTCCTATGCTTGAATACTGTTATTAAGAAACCTGGTAGTCTTCTCTAACTTAGGCTAAATAATTTCTAGCTCCCATTTTCCCAACCCTTTAATCATCTCTGTGACTCTCTGTTGAATCCCTTCCACTTTCTCCACATCCCTCTTTAACTGTGGAGTCCGTTGCTGGACGATGGACTTTTGAGATTCACTTTGAGGATCATGGAAGAATTTTCTTAAATTTTTTATATGGTAACTTCTTGCATCCCAGTGCTATGCTCGGATTTGCTCCATGTCCAATACAGGATCTCTAGTAAACCAGTTATTTTGGCTCTTTATGCCTAACGGGCTAAATTTTTGTATTTATTGTTAACATTAAATCTCTGTTAATTGTGACATTTTGAAGAGATCATTCTCAATACGGTGACTGAATGAAATACGTTTCCCCCCCCATTGGAAATATTTATCTGTATTTAGACTTCATAAAATTTACAGCTGAAAAAGCAGAGTCAAATACCTGCATTTTTTTTTTTAAGATTTTTATTTATTTATTTGACAGAGAGAGACACAGCGAGAGAGGGAACACAAGCAGGGGGAGTGGGAGAGGGAGAAGCAGGCTTCCTGCTGAGCAGAGAGCCCGATGCGGGGCTCGATCCCAGAACCCTGGGGTCATGACCTGAGCCGAAGGCAGACGCTTAACGACTGAGCCACCCAGGTGCCCAAATACCTGCATTTTGAGTGAAATACGTTTATCTGCCCTGGTCTCAGTTTGGGTAGGAGGTAGAAGCTTTGTACTCCCATGTACTTGCATAAGATGACATAGATTAAGCATGTGTTCTTTCCCATCTCCCCTTTCTTGTTTATTTTTTTTTTAAAGATCTTATTTATTTATTAGAGAGCGAGCACAAGCAGGGGAGAGCGTCAGGCAGAGGGAGAAGCAGACTCCCCACAGAGTAGGGAGCCGATGCGGGGCTCCATCCCAGGACCCCCGGATCACGACCCGAGCCGAAGGCAGATGCCCAACCAACTGAGCCACCCGGGTGCCCCTCCCCTTTCTTGTTTAAATTGTAGAATCAGATTAAAGTGTGAATGTGAAGGAACCTCGCTTATTCCACATATCTGTCCCCCATACTCCACTGTGAGCTCCTTAAAGGAGGAACATAGTTCTGGTTATCTTTATATTCTCAGTTCACTTTTTTATCTCAAGGAAAATTACATTTGATGCCTGCCTTAAATCAAGTGTGGAAAAGGAAGGTCTTGACCAGCAATGGCAGTTAAGTTCCATCTTGCTTGTCAGCTTCAGTTGATTGGTAGCAATTTAATTATTGCTGAGCAATGTGATTAGAAGGATTCCGCAGCAGAGTCCTAGATCATCAAAAAATATTGTGGCAAATTAGAATTGTCAAAAATTAGAACTCTGAATTGCCATAGCAATTGTTTACCTTGGTTGGACATTGGACATAGGAGAGGAGGCATAGGTAGTCCATATTTGCTGTTAAGAAAAAACAGGAGTTATGCCTTCATTCCTATACACTGCCTTGGTCCCATACAAGTAAAGGACTACTCCTATGAGAAAGAAAATAGCACTTTGTTCAGTTTATAGATCATAGTGAAAACAACAGAAGATCTCAGAGGTCATGGCCCTACTTAAAAAAAAAAATTATCCACCCACTCATTTTGCCCAATTGCATAAGGTCTATCTTTAGTAGCTCTTGGACATTGTGTCAGTGCTAATCTGCATGGTTGCCACACATGATTCTGAAATGTCATTATAAGAGTTTTACTCATGGTTCTTTCCTTGAAGCTG